TTTTTTTTTATCCATAACTTGACTTGTAAATTGTGACATTTTGCACTGAGCATTAGCACAACATTATTTTAACAATTCGGAGCCTCTATGGGAGACGTTGAAAACAATATTTCAACCATTACCCTTCGCATCATATATCTTGATGAAGTTTTTAATCAAAAGGACCTGAACTTTCCGAAGACTACCAGGCAGAAGAGCGACGTAGAGCGGCTCGCAGAAGGAACGGTAATGGTAATGGTCGTGCCACGGATGTGTCATGTGTGTCTTCATTTGCAGTAAAATTGTTCGTGGAATGATTGATGAAGTTTGTTTAACTTAATGAGCTGCTCAATTTTTATATGACTCGTAATTAGACATTACAACGCAATTTTTTTTCCACTTCAATTACTACTAAATTGAGTACAAAATTTTATTCAAAATAACACTCCACTAAATCTTGTGAGCACAATATTTCTTGGCGTTTTTTCGAATCCAAAAATAAACTCGTTTTGTCTTCTATTTTATCGAAATTACTTATAAAATTATTCTTTTTACACAAAAATTGACTCAATTATTTGGAATATTTAAATTAGTTACAATTTACACATGAAGGAAATAACATTAATTTGCAAGTTGTATCTTGTACTTGAAAAATTACAGTTTAATAAATTTTAAGGAAATGCTAAGGTTCCGTTAGGGAACCATTCTGTCGGGGTTTGTAACCGTTAGATCATCATGTAACCGTAACAGATAGTTGCTATAACGGTTACAAAATGGTTCCGTAAATTCATAGAAGGAAGCTTCATTCACTTATGGAAATGAAAATTTGAACATACATTCCTGTGTCTGACCTTTGAAGAGTTTTGCCTTGGTGATAACGTTGCTCCAAAAAGTTAAGTAAACATTGTAACCAATAGTCCTGATCAACAGCCTTCAATAATTTGTAAAGATTAAGATAAATTAAGGAATGAGGATTTCCAGGAGAACCTATAGTTAGTCTGAGGAGGAAACTTTCAAATTCATTAATGTCCTGAAGTTACACAACACCCTTAGTTATTCACAAGAAATGGAAAAATGGTCATATCATGGTCATCATGGTTAGTTGCAGTAAGAGCAGCAATCTAAATCACAAAACTAGGAAGATTTTATCAGAGTATTATTACCTTGCTCGCCTAGCCGACACACCCTGGGAAGGTGACACACAAAAGTGGTTGACCAGTCGAGCATGTAAATTAATCGGTTGTCCCAAACACAACCTAAATAAGTCATGGGATACAATTCATATTACAATCGCTGCTCTAAGTCGTTTGCAGGCAACACAATCCAATCGTTGGACTTCGACAGCAAAAAGCACGGAAAAATGATAAATAAAAGAAAACATCCACGTCCCCTGTCTGGAAAATACCGAGCAAACCAAAAAACACCACCACATATTTTCACTCTAATAGCCACACAATTTTCAGCTGCCATCCAAAAGAACATTCTTTGCGAACCAAAGTGACCCATTATTCGGAGCCCCATCAATGTTGAGGATTTGAGTCACCATGTTATATATCTCAACATTCTCGAAAGACGGCACTTTCCTACCCCTCGCGAATCGTGGCCCATGCCCAATGAAAATTGTTCGCATGGAAAAAAACGCATTATCATAACCATGTGCCCCTCCACACTCTTGCCTTCTTGACCTCTTTTGCTCCACCTTAAACCCTTCATCTATAAGCCCTATGATTGGCGGGATCCGATCACTAGCCGAATAATGGAGCCGATCAGGCAAATCCTCCTTGAGAAAAACCCTCAAATATTCGCCATTATTCACGCTACCCGATTTCAGCCCTTCATTCATCTTATCTACAATATCTCCGGGAGAGTGACCGGCCGGAGGACGGATGGCGAGCAGCGGACTGTAAGACTGGACCCATTCTTTCGGAATCTCGACCCATTTTACCAAATCATCCAAAAATATCAACTTCTGATCGCAAGTGCCCACCATCCCATGATCCCCAACCATAACAATGTTCACATCCTCAAAAATGCCTCTATCTTCCAGACCGCGAATCAATCTACCAATCAACCTATCTATCTCAATAACGGCATCGGTAATTTGACGATCATCGGGCCCCACCTTGTGGCCTTGATGATCCGGGTCCTCGAAGTACAACGTCATAAAGGAAGGAATTTCACTACTGGGCAAATCGAAATAGCTCAAGACGGTATCGACCCTCTCGTCGAAAGGCACAGATCCATTATAGAACTTACAGTAGTATTTAGGGCAGTTCCAGGAACCTTTCTTCACCTCAGATCCGGGCCAGAAATAGGTGGAGGCCTTCAAGCCGTGGTTGGCCACGGTCTCCCAGAGGGGCTCGCCCAGCCACCACTTGGGCTCGTGACTGGCCATCGTGAACTTGTCTCCAGTGGAAGGATCGGTGAAATAGTTGTTGATGATGCCGTGGTAGGCCGGGTAGAGTCCGGTGACGATGGAGTAGTGATTGGGGAATGTCAGCGTGGGGAAGACCGGGATCAGCCCCCGCTCGGCCTCGGTCCCGTTGTGGATGAGACGGTGGATGTTCGGAGTGTCCGCCTTGAACTGGTACCCGAACCGGAACCCGTCGGAGGAGATGAGCAGAACGACGGGGTTTTGGAGCTTGGAGAGGGATCTCGAGATCTCGGCGGAGGGGGAGGGTGAGGAGGCGAAGAACAGGAAGGCGAAGGAGACGGCGGCGGCTATGGAGGCGGCGGTGGCGATGACGAGAAGGATGAAGGCGGCGGCGGAGGTGGGGAGTTTCGGCCGAGGAGGATCGCCGGTGGGGGTTAGAAGGGCAGCGGTGGAGGATGAAGCGTGGAGCTCGTATAGTTGTTGTTCTTCTTGTTTAAGATCGAATGGCGATGGGTGAGTGCTATTGTTGGCGGCGGAGATGGGCGGCCGAGGGGAAGCCATTGGGAGTGGACGGAGGTTGTGGAGGAGTGTGCGTGTGGACTATGAAAAAGGGGTGGCGCTGACGTTTTAGATGTGTGGTAGGCTGGTAGTAGACGTGGCCAGGTGCCGGGCCAAGGCCCAGCCCGGCCCGCCCTCCAATACCCGGACCGCGACCGGCCCGCTAAGAACCAAGGGCCGGTTCATAGAACCGGCCCGAACCGTCGGTTCACGGGCCGGTACGGTCTTTAAGAAAAGCAAAAAATTTGGCCCGGCCCGACCCGACGGGACAAAAATAAAAAAATAAAACCGGGATCGAACTGCGGCCTTACGGTTCCGGTTCAACGAATCGGCCCTTAGGAGGCCGGTTCCGAGCCGGTTCGCAGGTCGGGCCACGTGCCGGTTCGGCCCGTGGCCATTTCTAGCTGGTAGCTGAGGTGGGTATGTTTTTTTATATATTTTCAAAACATAGATTTTATAATTTACAATGAAGACCAAAGAGCTACTAAGCCCACAAACACACTAAAGAGGTGGAGGTGGGAGGAATGCTAAATCTAGCTCCCTAGACAAACATAAACAACTAGATTGAATCCATACAATTGGCAGTGACTGAAAGTGATTGAGATCACTGAAAGTAACTGAGACCGGTCTGCTGGAACCTAATCCAAACAAAAACAAACTAAATACTCCAACAATGGAGAATACACACTAAATGAAAACTAACACATACCTATAATAGACTAATACCTCCTAACTAACACAAGTTAACCACATCAGAACCCAGACGAGAACTAAGCTAGAATCCACGAACTACAAAACCACGAAACATGACAAAAATCGCTACAAAAACGAACTCATGAACTAAAAACTCCAAAGGAGCGACTAGGTAGAACTGGTGCAAGATGTGAAAGCTCGAAGTCACTGATCGAGGCAGAGAAAGAGGGCCCAAATGGATCGGCTCCGAGCATTGCCTGAGGACCAAACTCGCGAACCCTGTGCGAACCAGATTCAGCGGCGAAACCCGTCAGGAGGCCTCCAACCTACAGAAGATGACGGGGCTGCGGCCAGGAAATCGGAACACAGTCCGAACGAGGTAGAGGAGTTGAACAAGATGGCTGCACTGTGCCTGGTTCGGGAGAGGGTTGCACGGCCCGAGGGCCGTTGACCCTCTTTCTCTCTCGGCCGCGACCAAGCCCACGGACGGCATTGCGAGGCGCGGAGCCAGGGAGGCAGAAGGGCCTCTACCTCTGGACGAAGTCGAAAAGGGTTCAGCGGGTTTGAAGTTGAGAGAGATGATTTGAAACGATGGTTAGTTAAAATAATTTGAGTGAATGAATAGTGAATTAATGTTGATGCGGTGTGTTTGAATAATTGATTGATATTATTTAATTATATTGATAATATTGATGATAGTGAGTTGAGTTAAAAAAAATGGTTGAGTTAAAATGTGGCACGACGTCGTTGTATCCATTTTCCATGCTCTTCGATTTTTTATATTCACCCATATCGGTCCAATATTAGGCCACATGTCGGCTTGACTCGGTCAACAGATTTAAAAAAAAAAGGAAAATATGGCAGGCCGTCTCGAGGACCAACCTAGACCTGGTCTACTGAGTAAAAAATTTTTATACATGAGGCCCCAAATCAGCCTAGTCAAACTACGAGCTCGGTTCTGAACCTGTTGACCATAGGCCGGTTCGGGTAAACCGGCGGACCTGGCTGGGCCGGCCTATGGCCATGACTAGTACTCTAAACCCGTAAGATGTAAATATGAACATACATACAAATACATCTACTTTGATTCACTAAAAAATATGCACATCTACTTTGATTAACTAAAAAATGAGGTCATTTCTATTGGACTAATAGTCTAAGTGAGATCAATTCACAACTATTAGAATTGTTTGTAAACTAATAAAAAATTACGATTCTATTAACATATAATTCTATTAAAAAAATTGTGTTATTATTAAATATGATTACGATGTTATTATTAAAATTATATTAAAATTAAGTGTATATTATAAAATAACAATTCTATATCATTTTAAAGATTTGTTGCATGAGTTGATGGTATGTTGATTATTTTAAGATATTTGGGAAAGTAGTGGGGTGATATGTGGAAAAAATTTAATTATTGAGGAAACATTCACGTTGTACGTTTCTGGATACATTAAGCTTTCCTTAAAGAAGATTGTTGATGTCCTAAGCTTAACTATCAGACGTTCCATAAGGACTTAAGCTTCCTGCTGGGATGTTTATTTGACTTCCGCGCTTAGTTCCATGTTGGACGTTTGCTTAGCCACCAAGCATAGTATCTGGACGTTTGCTTTCATAGGCAAACTTCAATCCAGAACGTTTAGTATGCTATAAAGCTTAACTCTTGGACGTTTCACATGACCTCAAGCTTTCGAGTTAGATGTTTATGTGACTTTCAAGCATTGCTACTGGACGTTTGTGTTCACAGTAAAGCTTCCATGTTAGACGTTTGCCTACCTTATAAGCTTAGCTTGTGGACGTTTGTTTACACAGTGGAATTTCCATGTTGGACGATTGCCTGCCTTAAAAGCTTAGTTTCTGGACGTTCCACATTGCCTCAAACTTACCATTTAGACGTTTAACGACATAATAAGCTTGCAATGTAAAAGTTTTAAATTTGTTGTCCCTTCTCATTTAGACGTTTCTCTTCAGATCGGGCTTCGTATTTGAACGTTTCCTTGGCTTCTAAGCTTAGCCCTTAGACGTTAGTCTTCACAGTCGGTCTTCTTTGCTGGACGTTTCTTTGGCTGTCAAACTTAGTTTCTAGACGTTTTTTTTAGCTTCCAAGCTTAGTTAATAGACGTTTGAATGCATTTTTTTCAGTAACTTTTTTTTTTACCACGAGAATATTTCTGTAAATTTATCATTTTTTGTTATTTTTTCCGGGCGACGAGTAGTAATTTGGGGCGACAAATAGCAATCATGTAATTTAAACATGCTCCTTGTGGCACGACGTCGTTGTATCCCGTCTCCATATCACCCCGTAGAGAACTGGTGAGTGATTGTTGCCGAGCATCTTCAGTATCGGACTCCATGGCGGCATACTTAAGCATGGGTGAAGCTCACCGGCGAATCACCGACTACCTAACGCGCTTCTCCGACGCCGTCTCCTACCAAGATGGGAAATCCCTCAGCCGCCTGCTTTCTCTCTCCTCCGACTCTGCCCTCCTCATGTCCATTGCCGACGCTCTCAACACTTTCCAGGTTTCCCCTTTTACTCTATTGCTTTCTTACGCTAACCCTCTTTAAACAAGCTTCGAGTGGTTTCGTTTAGATAGAAATGGTTCACAAGTAGGTTTTGGGAATGTGAAATTTGCTGATATTTTGAAATTGTTCGATTCGAAATTGGTTTTTGTTCGATTTGGGGTGCTTGAAGTACTTGGATTTTTGAAGTGTTAGGCCTTTTGCGTAATGTATACACAATTGGATTTAATGTCTTACTATATGATAACCCCTAACAAGCACCCGTTCGTATATATACCGTAGTGTGAAAGTTCTTATGCCCATAAAGCTCTGTGTCGTACTTACAAATTTCCATCATATGATGCTAATATGCTGATATTTTGAAATTGTGCGATTCGAAATTGGTTTTTGTTCGATTTGGGGTGCTTGAAGTGCTTGGATTTTGAGGTGTTAGGCCTTTTGCGTAATGTGTACACAATTGGATTTAATGTCTTGCTATATGATAACCCCTAACAAGCACCCGGCCATATATATGCCGTAGTCTGAAAGTTATTATGCCCATAAAGATCTGTATCGTATTTACAAATCTCCATCATATGATGCTATCTTACTGAATTAAGTAAAGTTTTGTTCCAGTCATCCTTACTTGGTAGTTTTTAATCCAATATAAGGCCGTGTAGCTGGGAGCTTTCGAAGGTTTCATCCTGATTTGGAAATGGAAAAATAAAGCTAAAGACTTCATCATAACTTATGATACATGAATAGAGATGGAGAAAAGCCAATATGGTAATATTTTTTTGAACTATCTTGTTTTTGCAAGATTGAATAAAAAGGACCAATTCTGCTATGACGTGCTTTTCTTTTCTCTTACTAATGAAACAATCATATGAGCTCTAATCATGATAGTGATCTGAGAAGTGCATAAAAAAATATATAGTTTAGTTAAAACTTGTTTAATGATTCGGGATTCTTCAAATCGGCATTAATTTAGTCTTTGTTGAAATATAAATATGTATTTCCTTAGTATTTGGTTTTAACTTATATGTGTATGTCTACAGGATGCCAACAGAATTATGAGGCAATCCGAGAAATTTTCGCAGTATGCAGACATTATAGTACCTATATTTCGCGCCTTGCAGAGTTATCGGCTGAGAAATCTGGTCGAGTCTTATGTTGCCTTTGAGAAGGGGTCAAAGTATGTCATTTTTTGTATAAAGTTGATAGTCTGTTGTAGTCGTAAGTAAGGAGTCTCTTAATCCTAAGGATGGACATTTCTAGTGCTTTTCTTCAGGAATTCCGAAACTGGGAATCAGCGTGGGCTTTGGAAGCACTGTATGTGATGGCATATGAAATCAGGGTTCTTGCTGAAAGAGTAAGATACAAATCCATTCCTCCTTGTCATTTTGGACAACTATGTGCATAAATTGAAAACAAGACCAGCGAAAAGTCAACTAATTCATACTGTTGCATTTGCAGGCTGATATAGAGTTGGCTTCATTAGGGAAAACCCCAGAAAAGCTAAAAGGTGCTGGATCATTTCTCATGAAAGTGTTTGGGGTTCTCGCTGGAAAAGGGCCCAAACGTGTGGGAGCTTTATACGTCACATGCCAACTCTTTAAAATTTATTTCAAGCTGGGGACTGTCCACCTATGTCGCAGTGTGATAAGGAGTATTGAAACTGCAAGGATTTTTGACTTTGAAGAGTTTCCTGTCAGGGATAAGGTCACTTACATGTATTACACTGGTTGTTTGGAGGTGTACAATGAAAACTTTCCAGCTGCTGATCACAAATTGTCATATGCATTGACACATTGTGATGCTAGGAAAGTCACAAACATAAGGTCTGGTAATATCTTGTCTATTCCTTTGCATTTTTTTTTTTTTTAAGTTGATTGTCATTACCAACGTGAATGTGAATCCTGAGCTGTGACCCAAGGCATTTGTTGGCTTTCGTATCATTACTTTACTGCACTTGAAAGGGCTTTTCCTTCACATTAGTTTCATATCAATCTCATTGTTTTGTAATTTGAGAAATGGTGATGTGCGTTATATCTTGTTTACACATGGTCTACGTTTATCTACTAATCCTGATTAATTAGATTTATCTATTGTTCACTTTTCATGTGGAGACTGATGATTATTCTTAGAGCGCCGTCTCACTGGCCCTCTGTTCTTGTTTTAATAGGATGATACTGAAGTATCTGATTCCTGTGAAGCTCTCAATAGGCATATTACCCAGAATCTCACTTCTTGAGAAGTTCAACTTAAATGAGGTATGACACAAAACTATACAGAGTACCCTCCGACGTATTTGATGTGTTCAATGTTAGAATCACCAATTTGTCAGAATTGAATGGCACAAGTTGTTTCTTCTTTCCTTGTGTTCTTTAAAGGTTTCTTATTGTTGTCTGTCATAGCAGTGGCGCAAGTTTAACTTTGGCAAATCATTTTAGCTTATACCAGAGTTAGTTTTGTGATATGCATTGAATTAAAACTGAGTGTTTACTGTAAGCTGATTTTTTACTACGGTAATATTAATGGGATTCATAAACCAAAAACTGAGTAAAATAAGAAGTACTGCTTTCAGGAATGATCTCTGAATCAAGTTTATCCTTTTTTGTTGATAAACCTCCTAAAATATATTTTAGATTGAACATAGAGGTTTTGTTTGGAGTTATTTTGGCCGAATTTAAGTGTTTATACAAAGCAAGAAAATTTGTGTATCTCCTTGAAAGTAAGGCGTTCTTTTTCATTTATTTTTTGCAGTATACTGGTGTAGTGCTTGCTCTTAAAAGGGGTGATCTCAGACTTTTAAGACATGCACTCCAAGAACATGAAGACAGGTACCCCATTTTCCCCCTATTCTCTCTAGTACATGATTTTCTTCGATATTGAATTCAAAAACAACAGCATTGATACATCTAGATCATTACAGATTCTTAAGGTCTGGGGTATACCTTGTTTTGGAGAAGTTAGAACTCCAAGTCTACCAACGGTTAATGAAGAAAATGTAAGTGGTGATGATCAGTAGGCCTTTATATTTGTGACCTTGGGCTTACTATCCAGATTAAATATATAATGTGTACCTGTTGCAGCTATATCATGCAAAAGCAGAAGGATCCAAATAAAGCTCACCAAATTAAGCTAGATGTTATTGTTAAAGCACTGAAATGGCTCGAGATGGACATGGATGTTGATGAGGTAATTTTGAATTTGATAATTCTACCATTCAATACAATCTCAGATTTAGTAAAACTATTTTTTCAAATGCCAACCTTCAGCAAATTATCCGTTGCCAATTTTGCTTTTAGTTTATAACAAGTAAAAAACAATAAAAAATATTCACATGCATGCCAACTATTTACATGCATGGAGTCGAACGTTCTAGGACAACCAATCTACATATGGAAGAAAATAGGTTGATGTTTGCTAAGAGGTGCTATCTGCATTCTGTTTTATGCCTGTCAATATGCTCTTACATGCACCATATGGTCTCCAATGCTTGTGCAGGTCGAGTGCATAATGGCCATCCTGATTTACAAGAACCTTGTCAAAGGGTATTTTGCTCACAAGAGTAAAGTGGTGGTCTTAAGCAAACAAGACCCTTTCCCCAAATTAAATGGCAAACCTGTTGGGTCATAGATACTTCCGTGTTCGCAAAATCTGTTGTACAACAATTTTTAGTTGTATTTTTGTTGACGTATCAATTATGGGCTACTATGTGAATGAAATTACGTGATAGAACCATAGAAGGGCTGATCCTTGTTTACGTATTTGATCCTGGCTCTAGTCTATCGTGAAAAATGTATGCTAAAACTTTGGAAGTCTCGTTATAGAGATTAGATTCTCGAAATCACAGGGTAGTTAGGTGCTATGGACTAACCCTTAATTAACAGAGGCTTCTGTTATTTCTTTGTTTCTGTTGTTTTTTGCCTTTTTAGTGGGAGAAATAGAAAAAAGATATGAGGGCAGATTTGATTTGAGATGCTATATTCATCATTAGTTCCAAGAAATGGTTATTATAGAATCAGAGAACAAAAAATATCTGGAAATCTCGTTTCATTCATCAGTTACAGGAAAAGGGAAAAGGGGCGGGCACTGCATTTAAAGCCTGCTCAAATTCAAACCAAAGGCACGAACCAAAACGACATCGTTTAGGTTCTTAAACTTGCTAGCTAAAAAATGAAAGAAAGGACACCGTATTCACTTACAAGAACGTAAACTAAAACACAGAAAACATAAAATCGACTTCAATCAAAAACAGAAAAAATACACAATGAACTTCTTAAGGTACTGCATGCACGAATGCAGCTCTCCCAAGCTTCATATATTGAACTCCCAAGCAATCTATATCTTCAACACCCCCTCGTCAAGTTGGAGGTGGATTGAAAACCATGCCCAACTTGGAAATGAGAAGGTTGAAGTGTGCAACTAACATGATCTTAGTGAAGATATCAGCCGATTGAGATGAATAAGAACACATGATAATTGAATGAAACCTTCTTTATACTTGTTCCTTACCACATCTCAATCAATTTCCAGATGTTTACTGCGCTCATGAAACACTGGATTGTCCGTTATGTGTATGGTTGCCTTGTTATTACACCAAATTGTGATTGTGAGCGAAAGAGATAAACCAAGATCAAGGCTTACAAAATGTAACCACTGCAACTAACAAACTATTGCTCCTATAGTACTGTACTTTGCCTCAGCTAATGAACGAGAGACCGTGTTTGCTTCTTACTCTTCCATAAAATGAGATTATTATCCAAAAATATGCAATATCCTGTAATAGATCTTCTAGTTTCCTTGCAAGCTGCCCAATCTGCTTCACAATAGCTATCTAGAATGTGATTTGCTCTTGCCTTATAATGTAAGCCAAGATTTCCACTCCTAAGAAGTATTTGGCTGCACCTAAATCTTTAATGATAAATTCTATATCTAAGGACTCTTTTAGTTCCTTCAACATCGTAACACTTGGAAGCTGCAATATACATAATCATGGTCAAATACTCTTGTCCCTTTCTTTGTGTAAATAAGCAATTATCATGTGAAGACTGAACGAAGCCAAAGTGCAAAACCTTCTTGGTGAGCTCAATATTTCATTTCTTTGAGGCTTGTTTTAGCCCATACAAACTCTTCACAAGTGGACACACTTGTCCTTATTTGGCTTTGGTATGTCCATGTGGTGGCCTCATATATACTTCATCAATGGGGTGAGCATGAAGAAATGCATTATTCACATCAAGCTGCCATAATTCCCGTCCTCTCATTGGCACCATAGCTATGAATGTTATGACTGTCACTAGCTTAGCTACTGGTGCGAAAACCTCAAAGTAATCAACACCCTCAGTTTGGTTGTAGCCCTTTGCAACCAATCTGGTTTTGAACCTCTCAACCTCTCCATTAGCTTTCTTTTTTAATTTAAACACCCACTTAAAGCCAAATGTTTTTTTTTTTTTGAAGGTAAGTGGCATAATTTCCATGTTTCATTTTGCTCTAAAGCCTTCAATTCTTCATTCATATCATTCACCCACTTCTCATCTCTCTTTGCTTGTTCATAACTCACAACCGTGATCTTCAGTTAGATTTGCAAGGAAATCTCTTTCCTGAGAATTCATAACATAAGACAATCAGGGAGCATAAGAATGTAACAATGATAACAATAAAATGAATCTTACTTTCCTATCGCTTGATTCGCCTTTTATATAGTGCTTAATCATACGGTCTTCATTTTGGGGTCAAACACCCTCGAGCGTCCATCGATCGAGCCCAATTCAATTGATGCCCGACTGTGCATATCGACACTCGACCCGACCCTTAACGGTCCTTAACATCGGCCAAGGATAGATGTGTTTGGACTCTATGTATTCGACCCCCTGGGATAATAGTCTATGTGTTCTATCCTTTGCGTCATAGGTCTATGTGTTTTACCCTTCAGGTCATGGTTCTATGTATTCTACTCTCCGGGCCAAGGATCTATTGGTTCGACCCTCCGGGACAAGGGGTTCTACCGTCCAGGCTATGAGTCTATATGTTCTACCCTCGGGCCAAGGGTCTATGTGTTCGACCCTTCGAGCCAAGGGTCTATGTGTTCTACCCTTCGGGCTATGGGTCTATGTGTTCTATCCTCCGGGCCATGGGTCTATGTATTCTACCTTCGGGGCCAAGGGTCTATGTGTTCGACCCTTCAAGCCATGGATCTATGTGTTCTACCTTTCGGGCCATGGGTCTATGTGTTCTACCCTTCGATCCATGGAATTATGTGATCGACCCTCCGGGCAAAGGGTCTATATGTTCTACCCTCCGGTCCATGGGTCTATGTAGTCTACCCTCCGAGCTAAGGGTCTATATGTTCTACCCTCCAGGCCAAGGGTCTATGTCTTCGACCTTCCGAGCCGATAGGGCCATGTTCGACCCTATGAGCCGGTCGATTCTCCGACCCTCTTTGACCCCGGCTCAATCTCATGGTCCCTTCGACCCTGATTTTATGGGTCCTCATCTGATTGAGTCGAGTCGGTACTAATATCCCTATCACATATAATAATAATATAAGTATGCATTTTTATTTGTAAAATATAATGAATAAGCAAGTCTAACAAATAAATTATTATCTCCGATAAAAAAGATTGCGTTTAACCAAAAAGTTACAAAAGTGGGAATATGGTTTTTTTGGTAGCCAGCCACGGTATTCGGAGCTATGCCCCGATTAATCCGTTGGTCGATCCGGGTCGCACACCTGGCAGTGGTGAGTGAGTCTTCTAATAAGGGTTTTCTGCATCTACAAGGACTTGAATCCAAGACCCTTACTTAAGCGATATCAAGCTGCTGACCATTTGAGCCAACCTGTTGGTAAAGTGGGAATATGTTAGCGTAGAGATACAAGCCATTCCTCATTGGTGTGAGAACAAAAGAAATTATTTCATTTTATAAAAGTCTGTTTCACATTTGAATTTGAGGCACGTGCGTGCATGTCCTGGTCACGCTCGCCTCCACACCTTAACATATTGTAATAGTTTGTCTCACACTACACTATATTAACCAACAAGTAGAGTGTCCATTATGTAGAAAATATAAATATTTATCCCGTAAGTATTTAAGATATAAATTGAGGAAGATGTTATGGTCCCGTTACGGAATTATTCCGTCGGAGTTTGTAACCGTTACGGTTACATGTTGATCTAACGACTACAAACCCCTACGGAATGATCCGTAACAGGATCGTAGTATTTCCATAAATTAACATTTATATAATATATAAATTGAAACAATAATAAACCGTCCATTGTAAAATATGATACGGAAGAACCAATTAGGAAATTAAAGATTACATTACTTATAAAATTTAATTATATGGCGAAACGAGATACTTGGAAACATAATTGATATTTTTATTTTATTTATTATAATCACAATTAATGCCATTCAAAAGGAAAGCAAATTATAACAAAAGAAAGTTAACAAAGAAAATCACGACCCGAATCTGACTCCTAATTATGCATTAGACAAATCCATGATTTTTTACCTTTCCTTTTTTTTTTTAAATATAAATATAGAGAAATGTTACGGTCCCATTACGGAACCATTCTGTTTGAGTTTGTAACCGTTAGATCATCATATAACTGTCAGGAATAGTTGATCTAACGATTACAAACTCTGACGGAATGATTTCGTAACGGGACCGTAGCATCTCCCATAAATATATTATACTTGCAAAGTCTGGGGTCAACAAGAGTCTCCTTTCTAAAATAAATAAATAAAACAAAAAATATATATATATATAATGCCTTCTAAACCCCCCTACAAAATAGAGCCCATAGCAAAAGAAAATCATAATAATAATAATAAATAAAATTAATAAAAAGGTCAGTTGAAAGTAGGAGCTGATTTTTTTGATTGGTAGAATGGGCGACGAATTATTCGGGCACAGACGAGGAGGAGGAAGAGGAAAAGGGCTGCTGATTGGTTCGTTGTGCGGCGGCGCACCGGCGCCGGCGCAGGGGATCGAACAGCTTTCGAGCAGCCGCCATAGCTTCTCCACTGGGATTCTTCCTTCTCTTGGCGCCAGAAGCAATCGCACCATAAAGCTTCGATCTTTCATCGTCTCACCATATGACCGTCGTTACAGGTCCTACAAATTTTTATTTATTTATTTATTTTTTCTTGCTGAAGTGAAATTATGTGCGCGCGTTACGTAATTTGTGCGTTTTTCTTTGCATGTTGTTCTTGGTAATTGGTATGGGTTTTGCCTGATTTTTTGATTTCTTTGATTAAAGACTATGTTTGTTTTAGTATTTCAGTTCTGGGTTTCGTTTACGTTTTCCTCTGGTTCACTTTCTGTCTTAATTGTCGAAATTTCGGTGCAGTAGTGGGAGATGCTATGGTCCCGTTACGGAACCATTCCGTCGGGTTCGTAACCGTTAGATCAACTATCAACTATCCCCGACCGTCATGATGATCTAACGGTTACAAATCCCAACGGAATGGTTTCGTAACGGGAGCGTAGTATTTCCCGTAGTGTTATCTTTTGTTTTGTTCTGTTTTTGAAATTTACATTGAAAGATCTGATGTATTTAGGTAATTCAGAGTGGATTTTAATAATTCTAGAAGGTACTGTTCTAAAAATCAGCCTAGGCGGCGCCCCGGCCGCTTCCGATTTGCACAAGTCGGCCGAAAAATTTGGCTAAGCGCCTAGAGGGACTTGGTGGGCCCGGCCGCCGGGCGGCGCTTAGGCGGTCCTAAGCGGGCTTGGCGGCAATTTTTTTTTTTTT